CCGATTTCCGATTGAACTGTCTTCCTGCCTTTTTTCCTTTTCATCTTTTTCCTTTCCCTTTTTTTTCTTTTTTTTTCAATCCTGTTGATCGAATCGATCGCCTGCGGACAGCTTCAGCCACCGCGATCAAACCCATCCGCGATATCGACGCGAGCACGAGTAATAAGCACCAGACGTGTCCCTCGTGGGAACGAACCAGTCGACAGTCTGGATTTTCAGACGTTTCATCGTTTTCCATTTGATTGCTCCCTTTGGTAGATCTAGCAGTGATTCCGAGGATTTTACTGTTTTATTAGATCATTTCTTTAGTTTTCGGTATCGAATGGATGCTGAAGGGCTAGGCTTAGGTTAGGTTCGTTGTATTTTACTGGAGAGTTTGAGAGGGTTTGAGAGGGTTCGGGTTTAAGAAAAATTTTATCTACGTTTTGGAAATAGTTTACAACTTAGCTAGTGGATTATAGGTTAAGGAAATCACAGTTACTCGTGTTAATGTTTAGACAAATTGGATTGAATATATGACGGAATAATTCTCACCCTTGCCAATAGATGGATTCCTACTTGAAGGAGGTTCGAGGACCTTTTTGCAAGTTATTGGTAAAAACCCTTCGTTTCCTATATATACAATTTCCAAGCTTTCCAATAGTATCCCCGTCTAAGGCAGGGCCTGCTAGGTAGCCTTACTGACGAGTCCACTAGCAGGTCCGGGACCAAATGCATCTTTTCCTTTCATCCTTTCTAGCACCACTGTTACATCGAAGATACCTGCGACAAGCCGACTTCGACAACGGTGAGGAAGGACCTTCCACAAATATTTATGCAGAAGCAAAAAGTTAATGCATAACATCAGATAGTACCCACGTGAAGGAACAAAAAGACAGAAATTTCTGTTAGGTATAAAATATTATATATACAAAGAAGATTTAAGAAGTGACTGAATATGAACGATGGACGATAATAAGATACAATTGTAGGATATTTTTAGACTTTATTGGGATGCAATGGTCGAAGTGTTCCTGTAGAGAACACTTTGCCAGGTCTAGTGGACCCGTTAGGGTTTTCTAACAGCCAAATCCTAAATACTGAGTAATTCAGGATTCGGCATTCAGTCAGCAGTTGGCCAGTAATCAGACAGTCAGTAAGTCAGTTTTGAGTTAGAGTAAAGATCGAATCAGTTAGAGTTAATTAGAGTCTGTGTAGTTAGAGTCTTAGATAGCTCTAGAATAAAGCACTAAGTCAGTACCAGTCCAATTCTAAGTCAGTTCCAGTCCTGCTCTAAGTCTGTTCCAGTCCAGTTCTAAGTCAGTTCCAGTCCAGCTCTAAGTCATTTCTTAATTAACGAAAATTTGAGCCGAAAGTACTCTCTGGAAGTCTCTGCACAGTACACAGTAGACTGTCCTGTGTGGCTCTTCAGGATATATAAAATATCGATACAAAATCGGAAAAACAATATCGTTCGAACCTGCCCTTTAACAGAATTAAAAAATCGAGCTCGTAACGGTGGCCTTTGCAACATGGGTATTATCGAATTAAATTTCCTGCACGTTCTTCAGCTTTATAATTACACCATATTCTTTTTCAATTGTCAATTCTACATGTTTCTGTCCTGGCAGCGTTGCGTCGCATATTGTCACGCGACACAATCGAGCCCCGTTTGCTTAAATATACTTGAATCAACACAGCTCTAATTTAATTTCGACTCGAGTACCAGTTACAACCCCCGTGCATATCGCGACGCACGTACCGACCCTGCGCCACCCCTTGGAAACTCGTTATCGATTAACGACGCGAGTGAGCCGTTACCGGTTACTTCTCCAACGATCGGCAGAATTTCTCCGAGCTTCCTGTGCTCGCCAATGACTTTTTTCCACCCCTTATTCTTCCGCCGAAGTCCGGGTATCCGGGCGATATAAAGGTGGCCGCGAAATAAGGCGAAAGAAAGCAAACAATGCCCGCCGGCACGCTGAATGACTCACTTTGTTGCTTTCACCGTGAAACTTTCCTCGTCCAGGCACTTTTAAGGAAGTTTCGAAGAACAGTAACGGCAATCATTGACGAAGGTACGGCCGATTTGTTCTTGCCCGCTCGGCCATCAGCTCGTCCAGCTTTTTTCCACGGCTATCGTCTCTTTCCGCGCAGCTTCCAAGCGCGACGACATTTTTACGAGACGAGTTCGCTACGCGTCCAAACTGCTCCGACGTTCGCCGATTTTTCTCGAATAATTAAAGCGACGACAATATGGCGGCTAAACGGCGAACCTGGATTTCCCGCGATTTATGGGGAATTGATTTAATGCGGATTTCCATCCAAGAGACGAAGAGTTTTCAGAGGAATTTATTGCAAGTTTTGGATTGGATGTATTCGAAAAAGTACGAGTATGGATTTGAGAAAGATTTTTACTTATTTCGTCTGTAATGTTGGAGATAAAAGCAACGTACAGAGCTTTAAGAAGATTCATAGTATGCTTTTTACCTAGAATTTTATTTACTTTTTAGTTGATATATATGTAGGAATGGTATTTCTTTTATCTATTCCTGTAAAGCGCGAGGGAATGCTTGGGCTAGTTCTTTTAGCTAGTTCTGCTTGAATTTTACAAAAATAATTATGCATGAAAATTGGAAACAGAACGAACTTGGACGAGAACGAAATCTTAATATTACTGGTTAAAAATGACTAAACTGATTATTGGGATTATGGGTTCTAATAGTAAAGTAACTACGATATATATTCGCCATTAAAGTCTTTTATTACTCAAGGAAGGTATATGTGTCTTTGAGTGCTTCTCTGGGGAGACTGGCTGACTCACGAAGGAGTGTCAAGAGGGAGGGGGTTCGCCTAAACCCTAAATTCTTATTGAACACCGATCTATCTATTTTATATGTGCCATAATTTTACTTTTACTCTGCTCCTATCTGCTCCTAACGGTTATCTCAATTACCGTGGTTATCTTTAACATATATATATCTATACGTTCCTATACATAATCGAAATCGTTTTTAAATATCAGTAGAATTAATTTTTGTACATTTCAGCAGACGTTAACACGATCAGAGATAAAATTGAGGCAAAAATATCTAGGAAATGCGAAGAAGTCACTGAGACATGAAAAATAACCTAACAAACATACAGGAGCCTCAGACATTGCTCCTGTGACGCATCGTGACGTACCACAAAATGGCCGGCTACTAGTCCCAGACCTTTAAACCAGCCCTAACCAATCACTCAAACTAGGACCCATGACGTAATAATACCAATAACTCTACCACCAGCCAAAAACTATTATAAATATTATAAATATCCATATCCACAACAAAATAAAGTCTGTAAAGTATTAGTGTGAATCTGAACCCGAGATTTACGTTTGTTCGTACCCTACCCGCGCACCGTGACAACGTCGTTGTACAGAATTTTCCACTTCGAAATTATTAAATTGATATAATCAGCGAGCAATCTGTATTTAACAGACATGAACGATAAGTCGAAGTAATTTAATATCAGTTCTTCTATCAGCCAGCAGATTCAGGGTAGTATACACAGCTGCACAGTATTCTCGAAAGTCCCTATCTAACCATCTCTACCATACAAATACGTCTTCTGATCTAATCTCCAGTGTCCCAGTGTCTAAAGCCTGCCAGGAAGTCCATTTCTTACCGATGAACCTACCAGCTAAGCCCCGGAGGAAACGCACCTTCCGTTCCTCGTGCCTCACCCTTTCATCCCCCTGTTTCCCGCGTTTCCTCGCTACTACTACTACACGCTGACTATGGAAGCTTGAAATCTTATTCCGAATAAATAACCCACGATTATAATTTAAAAAGGTACACTCGTCGATTACAACGTACTCGCAACTCGCAACTTTTACTTTTCGTTAAGTAATTTGGTAAATTGGTAAATAATTTTCGACGAATACGGTTTACTGAGATTGGAATAAAAGAGGGAGGATATGGAATTACTCACGTGTTCCGTGTTAATAGCAGCACCGTCACGAATATCTTGATGATCGGCACCGGAACCATTGACCATACCAGAACCGGCGCCAGCACTTCCGCTTCCTTTTCCACCGACACCGCCAGCTGGTGTTTGTGGCAAGCTCTGAAAAATGGAAATACGATATTGAAATAATTTATCGAGACACGGGGTACGTCTTTCATTACGAATACACGTTCATTACGCTTTATGGAATTTTTTAGTCATTTTCATCGAATCGTTCTTCGTTTCACAAATAAATTACAGCTTAACACAATTTTTGAACACGTATATTACAGTTAGAAACTGGAAATACGATGAAATAACGTAATAATGGAAATACCGAAATAATTTATCGACCGTGTATGCGCATTACAGAAATTCCTATTGGGAGATTCTTTAAATCGTGAAAGGATTGAAAGAATAAATTTTAAATATTATTCGTAGATGTATTTGTTTCTCTTTTATTAAAATATAAATGGAGTACACGCAGTATTTCAATTGACAGTTTTCAAATTGCATTTTGATACAGAAACATTGCTTTGAATAAAAATAATCGTTTCATAAGAAACATTCGATACAGAAGTTCGTAAACACAAAGGAATGGAGAATGTTATTGCTGCGATACACAGCACACGCTTGAATTACAACGCGTAATTTATTTGAAAAATGTGTAACAATAGAATAAACGAAACTACCGCGCGTTATCCCCTTTTTCTTGCCTCCGTTTCCCATTTCTCACCCCACAGCGATTCACGCCACACTGCTAGGATATATATGTAGTTTCATCGTTTACAGAAAATTAATATCCTGTTGCTCGCAGTCAAACGTAAATAAATTACAAGACAGCTACAGCTGACAAAAAGCATTTGTATTAAAACAACGAAAACACGTGGAAAACACGAATGCTTTTTATTTCTACCCACATCTGTTCCCCATATATCCTTTGCTGAAAATTTTTAATAAAACCTACGCTATATCGTCCTCCGAGCAATTGATTAAACCGCCCTGTAATTAATTTTCCTGCATCTTATCCGAGGACACTAAATCTCCGAGCTCCAGACGATTTACGAATACGATAAATCGCATCTACGTATACTTTAGAATATTTACTACGTTCCAGAAAGATGTTTCGAGGTGTTTCGAATTTTACATTGCATTCGGATTGATTAAAAAAAAAAAGGAAAAGAAAAGAAGAAAAATAACATACATTTCTGAAAACACAATTTTAATGTATAAAAGATTTACTAATTGCAAGTTTAAAGGATTGTTATTTGTGAGATTTATATTATTAATTGGAAATTAAAATTTCAGAAGAATTTCAGAAGAATCCTATTGGAGAATTGGAATTCCAGAAAAATTTTGGGAAGAGTTGTAAGAGATTGCTATTTGTGAGATTTATATGATTCATTGAAAATTAAAATTTCAGAAGATTTTCAAAAGAATCGTATTGCAGAATTGGAATTTTAGAAAAATTTGGGAAGCATGGTAAAATCGTGAAAAGATTGCACTCGTCAGTGAATTTTGGTCCAAGAATATTTAGGAAGTTAAGATCTTAGAACAAATTTTGGAAGAACCTTGATATAATTATAATTATAATTTTAGAAAAATTTTAGTGTAAATGACAACGTCGAACACAAATTAAAAAATTAAAGAAATTAAATAACTAAGAAATTAAATAATTAGGATTGAAAAATTAAAGGAATTAAATAACTAAGAATATATTAATTCCTTGCCTTACCATTAGAGTTTGGATGGCGCGTGCCACAATGAACAGAAAGGTCCGTCACACGAGGAGCCATTTGGTCCGAACGCGGCGAAGAATAACACGTAACTGAGCCAGAAGGACATCAAGGAAAATTAACCACGAGTCTATCTGAACCTGATGTTTACACTGAGCTCTATCCACGAACCACGCCTCTAACCCATGACACTCGTATTTGACTGGATCTCCTTCCCTCGAGTCTCACAAATACACTATCCGAACAAAATAGGAAGTAAACAAACCCTCAGTAAGAAATCCAAAATCGTTCCAAAACGTAAATTTTCCAACACGCAGAAGAACAGCAGAAAGAATTATCTGGCTCGCCAGAAAATTAAATTATTCAAACAAGAAACAGCGTTCGCCACCTGTATTATCCTCGGCAAAAATTAAGCTGTTCTTCATCCCCGCTTTCGTCCCCCTAAACCCCTCGATGGATGTCCATCGTTAATTTCCCTTCAACGAGATTTACGCGCTGCAAGAGGAAATCAGCGAAAATAAAACGGTATGGAAAAATCTCGACGATGCAGTGGCACGATTCAACGCAGAGAATTAAGAGGCAAGAAGAAACGCAGACGGAACGGGGTCCCGATTTTGCCCTTTCAAGCGTTCGTTTCTTCGATTCGCCAACCATTTCTGGGGCTGTTTCCCCGCGAATTTCGCGTTCGAGTTTTCTCCGCGCTGTTCCTTTGCGAGACGGATTAGGCGATGCAAAGATGGTCGTAAAAGGGAAATTTCGTCGAACGTATTTGCTCGATCTCACCCCCCTCGGGAGAGGATACGACGAAGAATGTGGCGCGCGAGGATGGTGCACGCGTTCCAAGTTCCAAGGGGGTTGCTCCTTCGAATTTCCTTCATAGCTGTTTTCGGAAATTTCGGATTTAATTAAACCTCGAGAAGGTGTTTTGTTGTGTCGGGGAAATTGTTTTTGGTTTAGCTTGGTTCCGGATCTTGAAAAGGGTTGATCGCGAGTGGCATGTTCTTAAATTATAAAATTCTTTAATCATCGTTTACTTCATTTTTACACTTCCATTATAATGTCAAATTTTTAATTCGGAAAATTTCGTAATTTGATTTAGTTCATTTTAATATCGTCATATTTTGATTGTGATAATACGGTATTGAGATATGGAAGCTTTTAATAGTGATTTATTTTATTTTATTAACGATAAATTCGTAAGTTAAGAGATTTCTTTAATTTCGATTTATTTTAGTTTTAAATTGCAATAGATTGGTATGAATTATAATGATACTTTTGGTGGTACTGGGAGTGAGTTTAAGCGAATTTAGCTATTCAATTCATGCTTTGTATAATGGTTTCAGAAAAGGTGGGTGGAATAGGAGAATAAAGGAAGTGGATTGTATTTTTGAAGTATAATACAAACATTGTGTATATTATTCAAACTTATTTCGACTAATGTACATAATATTACAGTATTGTTATAAAAGCTTTTGTTAAAAGCAAAATTGACCTGTGCCAGGTTCTACTGATATACGAGACTATTCCATTAGAATGGTGCCAAAGTTCACCTCATCGATTACAATATATACATACAAACAATATAAATTCGTATAACAAGATTGAATTTTCTGTAACATGTAATAAATTATATATTTGAAAAAAAGAAAAAGAAATATAAATGTAAAATGACTTTAAATAAACACGATTATTTTTAAAGAAAATATTAATGTAATATATATAGTAATATATCCATGTGATCTAAAAAATTAATAAAGCAAAAAAGAATAAAAATAATAGTGGGATTATTATTATTTTTTAAACTATAAAACACTCTAAATACAGATTTTAATGTTACTCAATACCAAACATTTGATTATCGTAGGTGCCTTTTAACAACTACAAATTTGCAAATAAATTTCTGTCACGTTGAAAATCTGGGCCCGTGTTAATGTATCGCGAATTCGAATTACAGTTTACGAGCAAATGACTTCGCTTTAATCGAGGTGGTTCAGATATCTATGGATCACTTAATCGTAACTTCAGTCATTTTGCGGACCACAAAATGGCGATGAATTCGCGTGCAATGTTCGGGGAATCATGTGCCTGCAAATAAAATATATTAATAGCTCTTCGCCGTTTAGACGTAATGCATTATCAGTTATCTCAGACCATTAATTCCACGAGCGAAACTTTTCGGGCAATGACGTCGCTCGAAACGTAATAAATGCGATACACGAGTATTATATTGCACGTAATTATCAGATAGGAAATATCACGTAAAATACAGCGCATAGTAAACGTCAGTTCGTTTCGCGAGTAATTCTTCGACCTGCTTGGACAATTGTTGTAAATCATATGAGAGAGATAACGCAAAAATCGACTAATTTATATCGCGCCACAATGACATTAAAAGAAATGGAATTCTAAAAGAACCATATTTATTAAACAAATTTTTCTATTGGAAATTTTCAAATTGAAAAATTATAATATTACGAGATGGTGTATTAATAACAGAACGTAGCATAAACAATTAAATATAATTTAATTTCGCGAATACCGTGGCGATTTAAATTACACGTGCATGCTTTGTGATTATTTAGCTAAAAAAGAACAGGGCTTTCCGCAAAATGTGGTTTACTCGCCACAATCGGCTGACTGTTCCCTTGCACAGTGGATTAAATATCCGAATACGAAAATAAGTTGCAAATAAAAAGAATTCCCTGCAGCAATATTAACGTTACAAAGATCTGACTCTTGAAACGAAATTCTACCATTTTAAAATAATACAAAAATGTTATTCATTTTAAGAATTACTTAATTCCTTGAAAACATCACGTTAAGGATTATTTAATCCTTTGCACTCGAAGAATTTTTCGTTGGAAAGAAACAGCAATTCGAAGCTTCCCTTTGATTTTTATAAGCTTGCCGATACCCTGTATTTTTTTTTTTAAAAAAAGAAAATCAATTATATTATTTTAACATTTTTGTTCTTAATATAATTATCGCCTCTTATTCGATATTCAAGTTACCAAAGGATTAAAGCATTACAAGCAAATGGCGACTGAGACTCACCTTTCGAACACAAAGGGTTAAGATTCTAAATAACATAAATATACAACATAAAAATATGTTTTAAATTAATTAACATGTTCGAATTTGCACGTTTTTAACAAAACAGAATTTGCTCTGAAAGAAAAATCTTCCAAATTAAGGGTTGCAGTTCTACAAATATATTCACACGTTTAAATCATTATTAACTTTTTCAAAACTTCTTGCTTTTATCAGAACAAATTGCATTTTAAAATAATACAAAATAATTTCGAATAAATTTCTAATAATTTCTAATAAAATAAAATAATTTCATTAACTTATGTACTAGATGCTCTTAAATTTTTGCTCTTA